AAAAATTCATATGGAACAATAAAGACCCCAAATAGCAAAAACCCTCCTCAACAGAAAGAATGCTGCTGGAGGAATATCAATACCAAATTACAAACTCTACTATAAAGTCAATGTTGTTTCTATAATAGTTGTAGTAATTTATGTTCTCACCAACAGCATATATTAGTATTTCTCTTTCTCTACATTCTTATCAGTATTTGTTATATTTACATCTTTCTGGTAGCAACCATCCTTACTAGAGTGAGGTAATACCTTCTCTGGTTTTGATTTGGATTTTCTTGATGATTAAGAAGGTTGTACATTATTTTCTATGTACCTTTTGGGCATTTGCATGTCATCTTTTGAGAAGTTTCTCTTAAATATATTGCCCAGTTTTTAAATTGGGTTATTTGCATTTTTCTTTATGTATTCCAGATATTGAACCCTTGTTCTGATACATAGTTTGAAAATATTTTTTCTTTCCTTTGTTAATATTTTTCTTTGTTATTCAGTAGTATTTTCATTTGATATGGTCCCATTTCTCTGTTTGTGCCTTTTTTGGGGGGAGGAGGAGGGTCCAGTTGTGGGGCCTGAACTCTGGGCCTGGGTACTGTCCCTCAGCTCTTCAGCTCAAGGCTAGCGCTCTACCACTTGAGCCACAGCACCACTTCGGCTTTTTTTCTTTTTGCTTATGTGGTGCTGGGGAATGGAACCCAGGGCCTCATGCATGCAAGGTAAGCGCTCTACCACTGAGCCACCTTCTCAGGGGTTTGTGCCTTTATTACTGTGCTTTTGTGGTCTGATAAGTGTCTTAAAGTATTCCCTCTCTTCCTGCTAATTTCATACTTTCAGAATTCATTATTTACCTATTAATCCCATTTCTTTGGATTCTCTGTGTAGTGAGAGAGCTTTTTCATTCTTGTGTGTATATGCATCCAGTTTCTCCAGCATCATTTATTGGAAAGGGTTATCCTTTCTCTAGTATGTGTTCTTAGCATTACTGTCAAAAATCAGTTGCCTGTGTGTGCAGCATGGGTTACTACCCGTCTTTCCATTCTGTTCCACTGGTCTGCAAATGTATATTTATTCAAATATTTTGATTACTACAGATTTCTAGTATATTTTAGAGTCAGTTTACTGCCTTGTGTTGTTCTTTTTATTCAAGACCAATTTGGTTAGTTAGGTTTAGGTTTTTTTTTTTTTTTTTTAACTAGTTAGGTTTTTGTGATTCTTATAAAAACTTCAGGATTTTCATACTTCAGACTCCAAAAACAATGTCATTAGTATTTGATAGAGATTATGTTAAATCTATAAATCACATTAGATAGTATGGATAGTAACAGTATTGATTCTTCCTATGGTCTTTCCATTTGTGTGTGTGTGTGTGTGTGTGTGTGTGTGTGTTCGTTCTTCCATTTCTTTCTCTTCTGTTACAGAGATCTCTTACTTACTGATTTATTTGGTTTTAAATTTTGTATTTCAAGCAATTTCCTACTGGTATGTAGCAACATTACGGGTTTTTGTATGTTTATTTCATATTCTACAATTTTGTTGAATTTTCTTAATCTAGTAGTTATTAATGGAGTTTGGGGGGTTTTCTGTGTATACTGTTTATGTATTTTGTTAAGACATAGATCATAGAAATATCTCCAAAAGGACAATGAAGTTACTTTCATAACTCCTAACCATGACAATAGTTCCCATTGACCAGCTTTTCCAGTGCCCCTCTGGGCATATTTTCCTGTTTTTCTGGTTACAAATTTTGAACCCAAAAATTCCATAGTCTGACAAACCTTTTGAAAATTCTAGTATTATAGGTATGTAATTTTGTAAGTAATTTGTATATGAGGTATGAAATTATTTAACTGACCAAGTAATTTAACGTATATAAACGTACAGTATTCCTTTTTTTTTTTTTTGGTCAGTTGTGGAGCTTGTGAATCCTTGGCCTGGGTGCTGTTCCTATAGATTATAATGATGACTATCATTGTGAAGGTTCAAAGGTGTTTGTGACTTTAGCTAAGTACAACTACACCAAAACACTGAAATTTATGTAGTTACATCATCTAAAGAAAGAAATCTTTGGGGAAGAAAAAGAAAGAAAATCATTAATGGATGGCTTAATTGGTGATTTAAACCCCGGCAATGATTTTCAGAGTACCATTCCTAGCTTTAATTATTTAAATTTGAATTACTACTAAGCTAGAGCTAGATAAAATAGGTAAATCTTGATTTATATAAAAATCATACATTTATATTTCATCTCACATTGCTGAGAGAAAATCAACTTTATGTATGTTATTATACTGTTTCAATGTGGCAGTACTGGAGTTTGAGCTTTTACTACTTGAGCCATGCCTCTAGTTCTGGGGAGGAGGGGGTTGTTGTTTTTTGTTGCTGTTGTTTTTTGTGGGGATTTGGGTTATTGGGAGATAAAAGTGTTTCAGATTTGTCTTCCTGGGCTGATCCCAAATCTGTATCCTAAGGTCACAGCTACAGTATAGGTCTGAGCTACCATCACCTGACCTGGCAATTTAGCTTCTTGTATTAAGTTGTTGTGCACATTACTTACTTTATGCTTTGTTTTATAGTAACTTATAACATTTTCTTTTCAGTTTGGCAATTCTCTTGTTAGCACACCTCTAAAACGTCGAAAATTAATTTCTCAAGAAGCTTTAATCAATCCTGTATCTTTAAGCTGCCAAAACACCTTTGAAAGTGTCATTTTAAACTGTCGAAGTATACGAGTAGGAACACTCTTCAGACTACTAATAGAGCCTGTAATTGTAAGTATATTATTAAGCTATTTGCTGTACCAATTATATAAGATTTTAAATTCTGTCACCAAGAGTAATCTGTAAGGTATTTACAATTTTTATTAAAGTTAATATCGTAACTGTTATAAGACTTTATATTGCTGCCTATATGAACTTCTCGCTGTTGAAGTTGTGGATAAAAATGTATCATTAATTTTATATTGAGTTTACTACATAGGTAGCTACATTTGATTCTCAACAAATTAGAAAATCTTGCCATATGTTAGTATTGTTAGTATTTGTTCTCATGTTTGCTTAGTGTATAAAAAAATATATATATTCAGGAACTGTAGTGAGAGAACAAAGAATCCAAAAGCTTTGGGTTTGCTGTGAACTGCATTATAGCTAGCATTCTACCACTTGAGCCTCAGCTCTACTTCCAGCTTTTTTGGTAGTTTAATGGAGATAAGAGCCTCACAGATTTTCCTGCCCAGGCTGGCTTAAATTAAATCTGCCTGGGCTGGTTAAAATTTTGATCCCCAGATCTCAGATTACAGGTATGAGCCACCACTACCCGGACTAGCATTTGTATTGTATTTATAAGTGCCCCCTAAGGTGCATTATGTATTTAGACTCGTTAAGCTAGTCTGCAAGATTTTCTGTAGTCTCTTCTGTAGTCTCTATCACTTGTTATTCTGCTGCCACCAGTCCCATTCAAGTGTTTGCTTCTTGTTTGAAACTTTAATGTAATCTTCTTTGTCATCATATTTCTTCTAATATGTTCTAATCATTGGTAGGTTAATTAATCTTCCATAAATTAATCTTGTATAAAGCCCTCTGCTTTGTAGCCATTGTAATGTGAATTATAACCCTTCCTTCATGGACTAACCCCTCAAACTATACACCAAAATAAATTCTTTTTTTTGGGGGGGAGGGTTGGTCGTGGTGCCTGAACTCTGGGCCTGGAAACTGTCCTTCAGCTCTTCAGCTCAAGGCTAGCGCTCTACCACTTGAGCCACAGCGCCACTTCTGGCTTTTTTCTTTTTGCTTATGTGGTGCTGAGGAATTGAACCCAGGGCCTCATGCATGCAAGGCAAGCACTCTACCACTGAGCCACCTTCCCAGACCCAAAATAATTTCTTCTTAACACCCTTTTCTCTCCCCCCCCCAAAAAAAATACAACACAGTGCTGTACTTAATTTCCTTAAGTTTTGCTTTATATTGTTATCTCTATGTTGAACTCTTTGAAGCCCTGTGTTTTATTGTTTATGTATGAACAAAATCTTTTAAGAAAACATGGTTTCACAGTAGGGAACTTAAAATGTAGTTTTATTATTGTTATTTTCTGGTTAAAAAAAAGTAGCAACAAGATACATTATCAAAAGAAAAAAAATTGCATATTTATTGGTTAAAATGAAATGTGGCCAGGTTCTGGTGGCTCATGCCTGTAATCCTAGCTACTCAGTAGGCTGAGATATGGGGATCAAGGTTCAAAGCCAGACCAAGCAGGAAAGTTCTTAACACTCTTCAGTTAACCACCAGAAAACCAGAAGTGGCACTGTGGCTCAAGTGGTAGAGCCCTAGCTTTGAGCTGAAGAACTCAAGGACAGCACCCGGGCCCAGGGTTCAAACCCCATGACCGACAAAAAAAAAAAAAAAAAAAAGTGAAAGGTTTTTTTAGACTAAAACTAATGTGGGTCTTTTTCAGTGATGTATGAAGCTTACATTTTGTTAACATGGGTTCATAGTGCATATTACCTTCTCTGGTTTCTACTATTTAACAAAAATGTCATTATTTTGGCAAGGCTAGGAACTTGAGTCACATCCTGCATTTTTTAAAATAATTTTTTATTTTATTTATTTATTTTTTGGTCAGTCACGGACCTGAACTCTGGGCCTGGCCACTGTCCCTCAGCTCTTCATCTCAAGGCTAGTGCTCTACCACTTGAGCCACATAGCCACTTCTGGCCTTTTCTGCTTATGTGGTGCTGAGGAATCAAACCCAGGGCCTCATGCATGCAAGGCATGAGCCACCTTCCTAGCCTCCTGTTTTTATTTTTATACCTCAGAAATATCCAGGAATACCCTATAGGATTTATGACTCCCTCTTAATACTGTTAAAACTCAGCATATAATCATTATGGTTTTACAGGTTATTTAGACACTTAAGAAAATGCTGCATGTTGTTTTGTTTTGTTTTTTGTTGGTCATGGGGCTTGACCTCAGAGCCTGGGTGCTGTCCCTGAACTCTTTGGCTCTACAACTTTGAGCCACAGTGCCAGTTCTAATTTTCTGGTAGTTAATTGAAGATAAGAATCTCACAGACTTTCCTGTCCTGGCTGGCTTCAGACTGTGATCCTCAGATCTCAGCCTCTGAGTAGTTAGGATTACAGGTGTAAGCCATCAGTGCCCAGCTGCATTATTATTCTTAAAGCTATCAAGTGAAGTGGAAGTATAGCTCAAATGGTAGAATGCCAGCCTTAAACAAAAAAAGCTAAGATCCAGCAGTGCCCAGGCCCTGAGTTCAAGACCTAGTACTAGCACCAAAAACAAAACAAGAAAAAACCTACTATGAACTATACTAAAATTTGGATGAATATTTTTTTCATCAAGTTATGAGTTAGCTTGGAATGCTATGGAGAAGTAGAATTAACATTGTATACTCGCATAGTATTAAAATGTACTGATACACTTTTGGTAAGTGAAATATATTAGCTGCAAAGTACTTGCTGTATAGTATTAACTTTATAGCATGGGGCTTTCCTAAAGGTTACATTTTGTAGTGAAATGATTTATTTGCAAAGTCATGAATTACCTAAGAAGCAGATGTTTTAGCAAATTCCATATTTATTTAATATCAGGTTATTTAACCTTAAATTCATTCTGATAAGAGCACTATATAGAAATGCCAATTTCAGGGCTGGGAAGGTAGCTCAATGGTAGAGCGCTTGCCTTGCATGCCTGAGGCCCTGGGTTCAATTCCTCAGCACCACAAAAGAAAAAAGCTGGAAGTAGCGCTGTGGCTCAAGTGGTAGAGCGCTAGCCTTGAGCTGAAGAGCTGAGGGACAGCGCCCAGGCCCACAGTTCAGGCCCCACGACCAGACCAAAAAACAAAAAAACAAAAGAAATGCCAATTTCATTTAAATGCAAATACTGTTTTTGAAATAATGTTTTAGTACTAACCACATAACATATGCCAAAATAGATTCCCTTTCTTGTTTGTCTATTGACGACACATAAAACCAAAACTTGTTGCTTCCTGTACTATAGTGTAAACTCAGGGACTTGAGCCTGCTTGTCTTGCTTGCTCAGCTGGAACTCAACCATTTAAAGTCACACTTCCAGCCAGGCTTTTTGCTGGTTATTTTGAAGATGGAATCTAGCAGGCTTTTTTCTACTTTGGCTGGCTTCTAAACACTATCTCAAGCCTCCTGAATAGCTAAAATTACAGTTGTGAGCCACCAGTCCCCAGCTTCTCTAAACTAGCAATTAGGGAAAGTTTTGTGAACTTACAAAAAAGGTGAAGCCTCACTTGCTAAAAGTTTTTTTTTTTGTTGTTTGCTTGTTTTTTTTTGCGAGGGAAGTATTTTGTCTAAACTTGAAACCGAAACCGTCAATAGCTCAACTTTTCTGCCCCTTGTCATTTAAGTTATGTGTAGCAAAATCTTCTTAAGTTTATGATCAGTACTAATTTATTTTATTTTTCTTTTTTAGTTTTCTTTAAATCTTATCAAGATACATCTAGATGGTAAGCTGTTTAACATCTGTTTACTCATTAGGATTTTATTTATACTGAAGTATTCCATAGGAATAAAAGATTAAATCTTATTTGTCACTAACATAGTCATTCATATAATATATATTTAACAAGGGACATAAATCTTGATGCAATTTCATACTGTAACAAATCTTATTAGAGCCTGTTTTTATTTGTAAAATAATGTAGAATCTTCTTTAACATACTGACAGCATTATTAGATATATGCTTAATGTTAAACTTTTCGTTCATGATTTGTCTATCTTAACAGTTGATGTCTTTCCTTTTTGTTTTCCTCCAGGACCAGAGAGTGATCCTATAGAGATTATTTTAAATACCTCTGATCTAACTAAATGTGAATGGTGTAATGTTAGGAAATTACCAGTCGTGTTTCTTCAGGCAACACCAGCAGTTTATCACAAGTTGAGCATGCAACTGCAAATGAGTAAGGAGGATAAAGTTTGGAATGACTGTAAAGGAATCAGTAAGCTAACAAGTAAGTGTGTTAAACAACTTCTAACAAGAATCACAAACTACTGAATAGCAAAGAGTGAGTACAAGACAGTTGATGTCTATAGATCTGTGTACTTTGAAAGAAGGCATTGAAATATTTCTTATAATATTGTTCAGATGAGGAAAAGCCCTACAAAAATAGGCTGAAGGTGGCTGGGAAGGTGGCTCAGTGATAGAGCGCTTGCCTTGCATGCATGCATGAGGCCCTGGGTTCAATTCCTCAGCACCACATAAGCAAAAAGAAAAAAGCCAGAAGTGGCGCTGTGTCTCAGGTGGTAGAGCGCTATCCTTGAGCTGAAGAGCTGAGGGACAGCACCCAGGCCTAGAGTTCAGGCCCCATGACCGGACCCCCCCCCCAAAAAAAAAATGGCTGAAGATAAACTTGTCCATTTGAAACCTTTTCAAAGTGAGCTAGAATCCAGCTCATCTGCATCTGTAATACTCCCTAATCCAAGTAAAGTGAATATGACTTGATATCAATGTTAAGTTTATATTTACCATATATATCTGAAAATCCTTGAGGTAGAAAGTTTACAAGTTCATAGTCTTCATCCTATATAATGAAGAGACTGTTGTCTAGTTTCTTTCCCTCCACCTTTAACATGAATAACAAGGCACAACTGTTAGCACATTTCAGTAAGATTTACTGTTTCAGCTTAATAATGAGTGAATGGTAGTGGTCACTAGTGTTGCACTTGACAATTTCACCTTTATATTTTCTAGAGAATTATCTATTAACTTGTTAAAATTATATATTAACTTGTTCCTTTACCCTTACAGTCATATTTGTTTTTTTTTTAGGTTTGGAAGAACAATACATAATTTTAATTTTTCAGAATGCTCTTGATCCTCATGCAAACATGGTATTTGAAAGTATCATTACTGACATTGGTTTGAAGAATAATGTTTCCAATTTTTTTGCAAAAATTCCTTTTGAAGAAGCCAATAGCAGACTTGTTGCCTGTACAAGAAGCTATGAAGAAAGTATCAAAGGAAGTTGTACACAAAAAGAAAACAAAGTTAAAACTGTAATTATATTTAAGTTTTTCAAAATAATTTTAAATGGTTAATCTTATTTATTTGGTTTTGTGGTACTGGGGATCAAACCCAGGGCCTCACAAATGCTCTGAAAGCACCCTCCCACTGAATCACAACCCCAGCTCCAATAAATGGGTAATTTAAGAAAATGTTTTATTATAATACTGTACACTTCTGTGTTTGTTTTGTTTGTTTAATGTCTGTGCGGGTGCCAGAGCTTGACCTTAGGGCCTTGAGTTCTCACTCATGGCAGGTGCTCTGTCTCTTGAGCCATGCCTCCAGTTAGTATGCTGTTGGATTTTTAAATTCTGTGTGGAATTTTTGTTCATATGATGTAATCTTACATCAAAGCATTAATAATGGATAAGGTGGTTTTTTTTTTTTATATCATGGTACTTAATATAGATCTCAGAATCCAGTTCCAGAATCGCTTTAAGTTCCTTTCAGCACTTTTGCTTCTGTTCCATCTGGTTTCCTCTGCTATATACATGTATGCACAGTACTACATTCAAATAGATTGTTACCTCGTGTCTTAGGTTTGAAGGAGTTTTGGTCTCTTGTCTGCAGTATCATACATTTATATGTTACCTTTACATACATAGTTGAAAATTGGGGAAGTAATGAATGTATACTATTTGACCTTAATGGTCAAAAGTGTATCTCAGATTATACAGAACTGACATGAGTCAGTTAGATAATGCTGAAGTGAAATGAATGAAACAAGTATGGTATCACTGTACTACTATAACACTTCTACAGTTACAGTGTTACAGTGTTGCTGATTGAATTTGTCAGGAATAATTCTCTCAGCCTGGGCCTATATACTTGGAAATATGACAATCTGAAGCACAATATTTTGTTGTTTTTTCCAAGATAATTCTTTGTTTTTGTAGTTCTAACTGGCATCATCACACCCAGCTGAAACTTTTTTTTTTTCTTTTGATTGTGGGGCTTAAACTCGGCCTAGGCACTGTCCCTCAGCTCTTCAGCTCAAGGTGAGCACTCTACCACTTGAGCCACAGTGCCACTTCCAGATTTTTGGTGGGGGAGATAAGAGTCTCATGGACTTTCCTTACCTGGGCTGGTTTTGAACTTGGATCCTCAGATCAGCCTCCTGAGTAGCTAGGATTATAGGCGTGAGCCACCAATACCTGGCCAACTTTTTTTTTTTTTTACACTTCTGTGATTCAAACCCAGGTCCTCAAGGATGATAAGCAAATGCTGTTCCAGTTAGTTACACCTCCAGCCCTAAGGCACAGTCTTAATAGTTGAACAAGGCCTCACACAAGTTTTTCAGACATCCTTTTCAAAGTTGTCTCTGCTGTGGAAGGAAAGAGCTGTACAAGCCATAAGACAACTGGAATGAACTCAAATTTCAATGGAAATCTCTTCCCTCTAAGACCCCATGCTTCATTTAGCTCTGTGGAGGGCTGCATCTCATGGTACTGTGCTCCTGAGCCTCTGCCCCACATCCCACAGATTGCTCGTCATTGGACTTAGACAACCACGTAATCTAAGTCTATGTTGCAAGGATAAAGCACTGGAAAACCATTACTTACATACATTGGGGGACTATCATTGTCTAGAAGCTGCAATGTAAATAGAAGATACCTCCAAGTCCTGCCTTTTTCTTGCTTTAACTGTTCTGCATCTTGCGTACCTTTCAAGATTTATATTTTTAATCTCTTACTTGAAAAGTTTTCTGAGTTGTGTTTGCTATTTTTATAGAAATATTTCCTGATTTAACTTTGTGAATTGATTATTTAACTTCCTTTACTTAGGTGTCCTTTGAAACTAAAGTGCAAGCTAGAAACAAGCAGGAATTTCAGTTTTTTGATGATGAGGATGAAACTGGAGAGAACCATACCATCTTCATTGGACCTATAGAAAAGTGAGAAACTCTTATTCATTTGCAGTGCTTTAGATTTCTTTTCTGTTTCCTTACATTTCAGTTATATATACCTAAAGCTTGCTTTTATTTTATTTTACTACAGATTGATAGTATACCCACCACCTCCAGCTAAGGGGGGCATCTCTGTTACTAATGAAGACCTGCACTGTCTAAGTGAAGGAGAATTTTTAAATGATGTTATTATAGACTTTTATTTGAAGTAAGTTTAATATTTTACAACTTTTTAACATTGTTATTTTATATCTGTTTTTATTCTAAAATCAAAAGTGCTTCATTTAGTTCCCTTTATTGCTTTTTTGACCATGATTAGTCTATCTCTTCTGTGTTTCTGTATTGAACCCAGAGCCTTACGTATGGAAGGCAAGTGCTCCATATTCTGTTTTCACATTTTTTAAAATGAGAATAATATCTAAAGTGGCTGTGAGGATTAAATGAAATGATACCTGATAAGTGGTAGAGAAAATTTCCAGCATATATACAAAATCTCCCTAAATTAAGGCTTATTGTGTGCTTACTGGTTTACAATATACAATGCGCATGTGTATGAAACAAAAGTGGACTTAGCATCAATATGCCTAGTGCTAATGTTTTCTATTTCATTTCAGTGTTTGTCAAACCAAAACATTTTTATTCTGGCAGTTGACACCCATTCAGTTGACTTTAGAGCCTACTAATGATTTTACACAACTATTTGGTATGAAAGAATTTGTAAAGAGAAATGCTATCATGGCTAATTTTTCTTAAGGCCACCTTGATAGGCATGTGCATTGTGGAAGTCTGGAAGAGAGATGATGTAAGAAGGTTTGTTAAGATGCTTCATTTGGAGTTAAGAAGTAACACTGAGAGGTCTTGCAAGAGCATGAATTAGAAATAGAGCCAACAGGACTCTATTTGATTAAATAGATATTAAAGAGTATAGACATCAGGGAACTCTTAGTTTTCTGGCAAAATGATGTTGGGACAAAGAAAGCACTAAGTGCAAAAGCAGAACTGCCCCAAGATCCAGCAACCTTACTCTAGGTAACTTTTCAAAAGACTTTGAAATGGAAACCACTCTACTATCCATCGATAGATAATGAATAAACAAAATATGGCACATACATATAATGGAATATTCTTACAGAGAGAAAGAAATACTATCACATTTTACAGTAAGGTGTATCTACTTTGAGGATTGGCCTCTAATCATGTTCTTCTAGATCTCAGCCTTCTGATTAGGTAGGATTACAGGCAGGAACCATTATGTCCGGTTTCAATTCTGTTCTTAAAAGAAAATGTTATAGTTTTGGCCAGTGTGGTTCCCCTTATGTTAGTTACATTTTTTAAGAAATCAACAATTCATTCACATCATCCAGTGAGCTGATGCCTTTTGTAGGAATCTGATTTGGCTTAATGCGAGTGGTATTTCACGTAACATAGTTTTCATTATAAACTGAGCTTTGGTATTAGCAAATGTTTTAAGTAACAGGTCTCAGGGTTGGAGTCTTGGCTTGGAGTGGCACCCAGTGAACAAGAATGTCAAATACCAAGCGTAAGTCCTAGTCTTGGCTCAAAAAGAAGTAACAGGTCTCAAGAAAGAATATGCTCTGAGCTGGGCGCTAGTGGTTTACATCTATAATCCTAGCTACTGGGCAAGCTGAGATTTGAGGATCATGGTTCAAAGTCAACCCAAGCAAAGAAAGTCCGGGAGAATTTCATCTTCAATAAACCACTCAAAACCGGAAGTGGTGCTGTGGCTCAAGTGGTAGAGCACTCACCTTGAGCTGAAGAGTTGAGGGACAGCGCCCAGGCCCAGAGTTCAAGCCCCACAACCGACAAAAAAAAAAAAAAGAGAAAAGAATACGCTCTGAAGGTGGCCAAACAAAAGCATTTTTGCTTTTCATTCAACTTTTAGAATATCCTTGTGATAGAATGAAGTTGGTCATAAGCTTGTTTGTATGCCTTCTATAAGAAACTTTATAACAGACAATTAAGTTTATTATCATTTACCTTTGCAAAGTAAAGGCCATTGCTGTTTGTTTTGATATGGAAATAGATCCATGGATAGAATATATATAGTTCAAGGAATTGTTTAAAGTAAAATAAATCATACACAGACAGTAGCTTAAGATAGAATCCCCAACTTAAAGTCAACAGTTTAGTGAGCTTCTAAAACATTCAGAAATTGTATAACTGTCATCGCACTTAATGTTAGAAAATTTTCATTACTCTAGTGGGTAATAGCCCTCATTCTATATTTCTTACCAACCTTACTCCTGAGCCTAGGTAACCACCAGACGGTCTCTATGGATTTGCACTTTCTGGATGACTTATAAAAATGGTGTTATTTGGGGCTGGCTTCTTTCATTTAGCATAATGTTTTCAGGATTCTTCTGTGTTATTGTATATATTAACACTTGATTTCCCTTTGTTGATATATAATAACCCATTGTACATTTTATTTTTCCAACTACTAATGAGCATGTCTATCATTTATGGTTGATTATTTTTAATTATAATGCTATGAGCATTCCTTAAAATTTTTTTAACCCTGAAGATTTTTATGTAGATATATAGTTACTTCTCTGACTTGGAGTATGTTCTTGTTTTAAGTCATGAGATCTTCTGGGCACTGGTATCTCATACCTGTAATCTCAGCAACTGAGGAGGTTGAGAGAGGATTGAAGTTCCAAGCCATCCCGGGCAGGAAAGTCCCTGAGACTCTTATCTCCAATGAACTACCAGAAAACCAAAGGGTCTCAAAGTGATACAGCACCCACCTTGAGCAAAAAAAGCTCAGGGACAGAGCCCAAGCCTCAAGTTTATCATTACCTGAAACTAATCTGGTGATTATCACATCTAGAATATGAGGCAAACTTAACTAATGACTTATTTCATCTTTAAAGGATAGATACGATTGCTTATAGCCAAATAAATATTTGTTCACTGCTTAATTAAACTTTACCTGAGCTTTTAGCTGAGGATGTAGTGATGTAGCTCAATAGTACATTGTGTATGTGGCAATTAACATTCCCAATACCTTGAGTTTGACTTGAGCACCACAAAAATTAAAAAATAACAAAATTGTTACATCTATCATACTGAAATTATTTTTGCTTAAAATAGATACTTGGTGCTTGAAAAACTGAAGAAAGAAGAAGCTGACCGAATTCATATATTCAGTTCTTTTTTCTACAAACGCCTTAATCAGAGAGAGAGGAGAAATCATGAAACAAGTAATCTGTCGTAAGTCAAACTCTGAAAATACTTAACAAACATAAGTCACTTGAATTGAATATTTATACTTACCTACTTAATAACTAATTATACTTAAGTATACTTTATAGTTATCCTTCCAAGGAGAATTGGTCCTAGATTCCCTCACCTTTGAGAAGTCCTGAGAAACTAGGATTACAGCTGTGAGCCACCAGCACCTGTCAAGAATCTACTTTTAGTGAGCTTTTTGGATAGTTACTCTCAGGCAAGTTAAGATAATACCACACCTGAGTAATTTTACTTCCTGCCCATATAGTGACGGCTTCCTGCTCTGATCCTTGCTGTTAATTGTTCAGAAGACATGCACCAGATTGGTACATTTTCTTATAGTTGCTGTTGTCTTGAATTTATCTATGGTATGAATATAAACAGTATTTTCTGTTTCAGAAGTTCCTAATATTGTGTCTTCTTGTTGATGGTAGTTAATGATTTTGACCAGTGTTCACAATCTATCCTGCTTTATCTGCTATCAGCTTGTGCTTACTTTTTTTTCTCCTCACTTATCATAATTCATGTTCCACTGTCTCTCAAATCTGTGGAGAGAAGTTTAGGCCAAGAATCACTTGGCTCTGGACTTCAATAGGACTACAAGACAATAAATCTGTGTTGCTTTACCTACAGAAACAGAAGGAGAGATACTTTTAAATGCCTCCAGATTCAGTAGTGGGCAATTCCTTATAGTTTTACATTAAATGATCTGCTTTTCCCAGCCTCTTAAACCTTCTCATGTAACTCAGCTGTTACTGCTGAGTTTTCATAATTTATAACTCCATACGGACACATTAAGATTATTTCCAAAGCTTACAGTTTATCTCTTTGTTATAGAATACAACAAAAACGACATGGGAGAGTGAAAACATGGACTCGGCATGTAGATATTTTTGAGAAGGATTTTATTTTTGTACCCCTTAATGAAGCGTGAGTAAGAATTTTGTGTAAAAGTAATAGTATTGTTTTGAAAATATGTTTAATAAGGTGAAGAACTTATTTTTAAAACTATTTATGTATTATGTGTATTCTCTTGTGAAAGTAATGTAATTTAAAACACTAAATCTGGCAAAGAATAGACCACATTATGTACCTTATTCTAAGTTGTCATGATGGTCAATGTGGAATACAGTTTTTTTAAGAGTAATAGTGTTTGTAGTCTAGAAAATATCTACAGATATTTTACTTTATGCATTGTTAATAGAACCTGTTTGTGCAAGGAAGAAATATTGAGAACTAGAAGGAGTTTTCTAAGTAAACAGAGATGCTTAAATTCTTTGTATTCTGATGACTACAGGCTACTCCTCCTCTGCTGACTACAGAGGCAGTGATACACAATATAGAATTACTAAGCAGTTAGGACTCAAGGGTTTTCTTGGTTTGTTTTTCTATGTCCTCCAGTCAGACAGCATGAGGAACTAAACTTGTAGTTGGAAAATTGGGTTTATCTTTTCAGCAGGGTAAGCACGCACCCTGGACAACTCAGATTTCTCAGTAAAGGGTTATTTAAAGGAACTTAAGAAAGAAAACTTAGGTTCCCCTCTGGTGATTTGTGCAGAGTCTCGAGTAGTGGTAGTATGTGTGGATAAAGAAGAAACATTCACTGGGTGCCAGGGGCTCATGCCAGCTACTCAGGAGGTTGAGATCTGGGGATCTCGGTTCAAAGCCAGTCCAGGCAGGAAAGTCCTTGAGACTTATCTCCACCTAACCACCAGAAAAATGGGAAGTGGCACTGTAGTTCAACGTGGTAGAGTGCTAGCCTTGAGTAAAAGAGCTCAGGGTCAGCACCCAGGCTCCGAGTTCAAGCCCATGACCAAACAAGAAGAACATTCATATTTAACAAAAGAAGGAGATTATTGGTGTTTTGTGACACAGTGTTGACCTCTACACAAATTGTGAAATGGCCATTGTCTCGGTTTTTATTATGGTTGCATCTTTTTATTATGATTATAGCTTTGCAATTGTTTTTTGTGATTGTTCATGCTTGTTATGTTCATGCTTGTTAATAAACCTAGTGGCACAAGGCTAACTTCTGGCTGTGCTTCTTCACTCTGTCTTTCCATCCCTCTCACTGTGAAAACACATTCATTCCCTTTCAGTATGGCCAAACTAAATCTTTTACCTCTTCCCACAAGAAAAAATTATTATTATGAGATATGTGCTCGGTAAGGTTATAGGTAACATTGGTTATAGATAACTGTGAAGCACAAATTTTTCAATTCTATGTATATTTTAAAATCGTAGTGTCATAATAAAATTTAATTTCTTTATTCTCCTAAATATAAGATTTCTTGAAATTTTATCATATACAGTAATGTGAGACCTACGTTATAAGATGAAAGAGAGGAAAGCTATGATAAGAAATGGATTTCAGAAATTTCTTATAGAAATTAAAATTAATTTAGGCATAGAAGTACAGTCCTCGTAGGAACTGTGTGCTTCTAGCCATCTACGTAAGACTGTGAACAAACATAAAGGTCAGCACAATGTTCTGCAAGAGGGCTACACCATTATAGATGAAAAAATAGCCAACAAATTTAAAAAAAAGCAACACCATAAATACTGATATCTAATAATTATGTTAATCGGGCTTTTATATGCTGTCATTTTCCAGATGATGGTAATTTATTTAAAGTTAAGGTCATAAAGTATTTGCTAGAAACAATTGCAGTAAACGCTTCAGAAAAGCAAAAATGGGGGTTTTTTAAATTAGAAGTGATCATTTGACTCAGCTTTGTCCTTTTAGACAGGCAAAAAGAAAAGGGTTTTTCCTAATTTTTAGATGAAACAAAATCTGTAGTTTATCCATATTATAATAATTAAGAAACATAACAAAATCTGCTAGTCCAATTTTTTTTTCTCTCTTTTTGGTGCCAGTCCTGGCACTTGAACTCAGGGCCTGGGTGCTGTCCCTGATCTTTGTTTTGCTAAAGGCTAGTCTCTACCACTTGAGCCATAGCTCCTTTTTTGACCCTTTGGTGATTAATTGGAGGTAAGAGTATTGGAGTTCATTGCCCGGGCTGACTTTGAACCATTATCCTCAGTTGGCAGCCACCTCAGTAGCTAGGATTACAGGAGTGAGCCACCGGCGACCAGCTTATACAAATTCTTAGTCATATAAACAATTGAAAACAGTTTTTTTTTGGGGGGGGGTCCGGTCATGGGGCCTGAACTCTGGGCCTTGGCGCTGTCCCTCAGCTCTTCAGCTCAAGGCTAGTGCTCTACTACTTGAGCCACAGCGCCACTTCTGGCTTTTTTCTTTTTGCTTATGTGGTGCTGAGGAATTGAACCCAGGGCCTCAGGTATGCAAGGCAAGCACTCTACCACTGAGCCACCTTCCCAGCCCCAAGTGAAAACAGTTATAAGCAACTATAAATAATTGTTTGAAAAACATCAGCATTGATCATTTGTTGACAAAGCCAGTGAAAATATTTTAATAGATATTAATTGCCAAGTATTTTTCTAGTAATAGATTTAATCGTTTCTTTATTTTTTTTTTTTACAGTGCACACTGGTTTTTGGCTGTTGTTTGTTTCCCTGGTTTGGAAAAACCAAAATATGAACCTAATCCTCATTACCGTGAAAATGGAACCATGCAGAAAAGTTCAGCTGTGGAGGACAGTTGTCTTTCTTCTCCTTTGACCAGTGAAATGGACAGTGGTTCACAAAACTCTCCTGCCAAGCCTGTAATTAAGAAGATGCTAAACAAAAAGCATTGCCTAGCTGTAACGGATTCAAGTGCTGGTCAGGGAGAAAGTGACCTGTGTTATCGGAGAAACATAGGCAGTGTGAAATGTACTGTGAAAAAAAAAAATCATACTACAAGTGAAAATGAAGACACAAATAAAGGAGAAACTGCAAGCCAGAAGGTGGTTGATAGGTCTAAAAGTGAGAATGGCCTACAGGATGAATGTTTAAGTTCAGTGCATCATCCAGGTATGTACCTTCAAGTTTGGAAATAATTCAGGTAGGACTTCTAAAATTAACAGTTTTCTTTTTGTCAGGCATTTTCAGGTAGAATTTACATAAAATGACTTTTCTCATTTTACGTGGTTGCATTTTGTCATATAGTCATATAATCACTACCATAAGGAAGATTAAGCTTTTTATCACTACAAAGATGTCTGGGTGTCCCTTTTGCAGTTACGTTCTTTCCTTATTCCTTAGACAACGGCTTCGAAACTATAGTAAAGGCTGAGCATCCCTAGTCTGAAATTTGAAATGTTCTAAAATCTGGACTTTTTTTTCTTTTTTGGCAATTGTGGGGCTTGAACTCTGGGCCTGGGCACTGTCCCTTAGCTCTTCAGCTCATGGCTAGCACTTTATCACTTAAGACACAGCACCACTTCCAAATCTGGACCTTTTTAAATATCAACATTCAGATGTAAAAAAGTCTATACCTGATCTCATATGTCAGATATAGACACAAAATCAAAACACAGATGCACTAAAAATGTTGTATAAAGTTCTTCTCTGATGGTGCATGAAATATGTGATAATTCACAAATTCAGGATAAATTAGTTGCATAGTCTTTGTTGTGTAAGTTAAATTGAATTCAAGTTGACAATGAAAACATTATTGGATCAGTTAAAGCTCAGTTCCTCACTCCGCACATTCCTGTATTGTGTTCCAGTAGGAAGCTGACGGCTTTTGCCTTTTCTTCTTTCCCGTCTCCTAATAAGTTGGTTTTCATTTCCTTGAATAAGTTTCATATTTTTAGTCCATTATAAAAATCTTACATTTTATTCAGATTCTTTGCTATGTAGTCAGTTGTATATTCAATCCACAAGTAGTCTTTATACCCTGATAGGAGCATTACACAATGGAGAGATGTATCAAAACATTAGCTGGGAGTCCATTGCTCATATTTGGCATCCAAGCTACTCAGTAGGCTGAGTGATTTCTGAGGATCATGGTTTGAAGGCAGACCAGGCAAGAAAGTACTTGAGACTATTTCCAATAGACTACCAAAAAAGCTGAGGTGTGGAGGTGTAGAGGTGTGGCTTGAGCAAAAGAAGCTCTGGGACCCATGAGGTCAAGCCCCAGGACTTGCACCAAAATAAAATAAAACCAGAATCTCCAGTACAGTCCTTTGGGCAGTAATCTTATATGGTCTAAGGTGATTTCAAATAAGAAATGAATTAAAAATTGAAGTGTGGGATTTAAAGCAATGGGACAAAACTTGGAGATTTTTAGTGCCCTATACTACAGGTTCATGTTTTGATTGATTAAATAGCTAGTTATTCCTGAGGAAATAGTCTCAGAATTTCCAGTAAATATTGAAGTAAAAACATGTTGAATGTGAATTATGTAATTAATATCCCTGTCCTATTTACAGTATTTGTCTTTTGGTTATGGCCTGTACAGTTATATTTGTTTAGCTTTTAGTATGAATTTAAATACATAAATTGACAAAATGTTTGACAAAACATTAATTTATCACTTTAGTGTGTGGTAACACTTAATATTCTATGTTTTTCTTAATGATTGATCCAGTGTTGATAATGTCCCTCAGTTTGAAAAGCAATTCTCTAAAATGTGTTTCTTTGTTTTGCATTAGTGGAAAACTTGAGCAAAACTTTATGCTTCCCAAGAGCTCACATGACCAAAAGCTCAGGGAGTAAGCGTATAGGTCAACTGAGCCTCCCACTCCACATCTGAGGGGTGTTGAGGCAGTGTGTGCTGTGCACACAGTGGTGGCATATTGAAGGAATAAGAAAAATCTGTAAACATGCTGTCATTTCATTAATAACTCTGCAGTTGACCATAAGTCCCTTTATTAAAGCTGACAGCCTATAAATGTATTTTACACAGTTTTAACATAATTTCATCTGTCAAATAGTCACTAGTATTAACCCCTTAGTATCAGATAACATACTATAGTGAGAATTATCTTACTTTAGAGATTAGATTGTGTGTGTGTGTGTGTGTGTGTGTGTGTGTGTGTGTGTGTGTGTCTCGGTCATGGGACTTGAACTCTGGACATGGGCACTGTCCCTCAGCTCTTCAGCTCAAGACAAGCACTCTACCACTTGAGCCACAGCTGGATGCCACCAGTGCCTGCTAAGCCCTTATTTGCTTTAGGTTATTTTATAGGCAGGGTCTTGCTTTTTAACCATTTAAAAATAACTTAAAAGCCTGCAGAGGTAAATTCATGCTTTAAAATTTTTGAAATGGCATATATTTTTAAACAGGTCTTAACTTTAATATTGACGATGCTGACTCAATTCCCTTGTAAATCTCCTTTTTAGAGTTTCATTTCCTAAGATTCTTTCAGCAAAAGAATGACTTTTAACCACTTAGATTCTTAGAATGGACCTTTAAAAGTATCCATTTCAGCCGGGCGCGGGTGGCTCATGCCTGTAATCCTCAGGAAGCTGAGGTCTGAGGATCACTGTTCAAAACCAGCCTGGGCAGAAAAGTCCATGAGACTCTTACCCCAATAAACCACTAGAAAACTGGAAATGGCGCTGTGGCTCAAGAGGTAGAGCGCTTGCCTTGAGCTGAAGAGCTCAGGGATAGCTCCCAGGCCCAGAGTTCAAGCCCCATGACCAAAAAAAGTATCTATTTCAACCTTTTTTTCCCATGAAGCAGTTCATTTTCTGCTACCAACACCTATATTTTCCCCAAAGCAACTGTGTTTACTTTTTGTGATCTTTCAATCTTTAGTGGATAATTTTCTTTATTGCACAATTTTAATTTTAATATACTGTGTTATTTTGTGTTCTGCAGTTTGCTGTTCCTGTTATTTGGGCATTTGTATTATTTTTCAGACTACAATAGCTCCCATTATATCTGAGCTGGGTACCAGTGGCTCTACTTGTAATCCTAGCTACTCAGGAGGCTAAGATCTAAGAATTGCAATTCAAAGCCAGCTCAAGCAGGAAAGTCTATGAGACGCTTATCTCTAACCACCATAAAGTCTTAAATAGAGCTATAGTTTAAGTGTAGAGTGACAGTGATGGGCAAAAAAAGGTGTCTGGTATATCTAGTACACACAATATGTACATGTATATACATATGTATTTAAGCATAATCTATAAGTATATTTAAATGTAATCATTAATCTGAGGGTTTTTAAATTTTAATGAATCTCAGACCCTAAGTAGTAGAAACATTTCTATAATTAACATGTTTTTCTATAATAGGTTTTTATTGAAACTTACTTTTTACCTGGGATATTACAGCAGATTTATCTACTCTGCAGTAATCAATTCGTTACTAGCATAGGATTCCTTTGAATTATATAGGGATAGCCTTTTTATTTTAGGAAATTTCTTATTATTCTAGATGGCTTAAGCAAAATCAGGCTAAACTATGGTGACCAATCAGCTGAAGGAGCTAAAATGCTCGAAGATGGACTCATTGACTTCTCAGAGGATCAGGACAACCAGGTAAAGCCTGATACTTGCAAAAGTTCCAATGCGTGTTTTGTTTTGTTGTGTTTGTTCCAGTCCTGGGGCTTGAACTCAGGGCCTGGGCACTGTCCCTGAGCTTCTTTTGCGCAAGGTTAGCACTTTATCACTTGAGCTACAGCTCCACTTACGGCTTTTTCCGTTTATGTAATACTGAAGAATCAAGGCCAGGGCTTCATTCATGCAAGCACTCTACCACTAAGCCACATTCCCAGCCTCCAATGTTTTATATAAGTTTTTCTTTAGAATCTAAGAAGCTACACCTTTGACAATAACTCATCATACTTCCTAGATGTGGGTCATATCTCAAAACATGTCTGGTTTTCAAGTTGGAAATTCCCAGGATTAATGTATTCATATTAATCCCTTGCAGTTTTTGTTTGGTTTGCTATTGTGAATGGGCTGAACTCTTAATATTGCCTCAGAATGTTTTCATATAAAGTTCTTTTTTTGCCAAAGTCTGTCAAGCTCAGTGGTAGTCCTCGGGCTTTGATTCCCAATGTCATATTTTAAGAAAGCAATTCTTTCTTTCCAATTCAGCCACCATCATGCCTGCTTCCTCTGTCAATATAATCATGGGCCATACTTTACCTTTAGTTTAACCACATTGAAGAAAATTTGGTTAATTTTTCAAATATGTGTGGTACACAAGCACAGGAAATATTTTTTAAAGATAAATTTTGTGGCTTCAGTTAAAAAGTATTTTTTGAGAAGAAAGATCATAAGAATCCTACAGCATACTATTTTCTTACTTTTGTTTAGTTAGAACAAACTTTGAGTTTACCCTAACAAAGAAGACAATGACTTCATTCTCTCCAATATCTTCTTGGGAACAACAGAACTTAGGGGGAACGGGGGCTTGTGGAGAAGAGTGGTGGTTCTTTGGTTTGCATTCTATTGCTGTAAAGCGTTGTTGTTCTTCCCTTTAGTTTTTATAGGTTGAGTATTCCTAATCTGAAACCCAAAATAACCCTCAAAATTTTTATGTGAATTTCAGATATTCAGACTAAGAATGTTTATGTGGTAATGTCTATGCACGTATTCTAGAATCCAGAAAACTTTGAAATCTGAATCATTTCTGGGCTTATAGCACTTATCTGTTAATGTAATCTAATTATTGCTACTATTGATTATTCCAGCCTAAAATTTCTAGAGTTTTTCTCATTGAAAAAATAAGAAAAGCCTCATTCACTTTACATTCATGACAGAGAAAGATACATCCTAAAATCATTTTCTCTCAAATGAAATAAATATGTAGTTTTGTTTAAAAAATTAAAAGTTGCCAAATCCCCTTAAATTTTTGTGCTATGAGAAAAATTATAAAAGAATTAAATGTTGGGGCTGGGAAGGTGGCTCAGTGGTAGAGCACTTGCCTTGCATACCTGAGGCCCTGGGTTCGATTCCTCAGCACCACATAAGCAAAAAGAAAAAAGCCGGAAGTGGCGCTGTGGCTCAAGTGGTAGAGCGCTAGCCTTGAGC